CCGTGGTGTTGGAGTCGAGATGGTGAAGCAGGATGGCTGGTTACTGTACACACTGGATCCTTCCAGCAGCAGCGCTCTGGGTCCTCTGCGCTCTCTCTGTCCTGGGAGCCGTGGTCAGCGCACAGTCACTCTCAGCGGCAGCTGGTGCGTACGGCGACTCCGCGACGACCACTGCGCAGGATGCTTCAGTGGTGGCCACTGTGCAGGATGTCATAGCGAAGACAACTGGGCAGAATGTCTACACGACGACCACTGGACAAGATGTCTTCACGATGCCCACTGCGCAGGATGTCTCTATGAACACCGCACGGGATGTCTCGAGGATGAGCACTGGGCAGGATGTCTTGCCAGTGGCCACTGCGCACAACCCATTGACTATGACAGCAACGATTACCGGGGATATTATTCTCATGTTTGGCAGTGTAAACAACGCTTCATCAGCAGCCGCTGTACACTTAACTCCCACGATGGTCAATATCTCCACTCTGGAAGATTCTCTCACCGCTCCACTTTCTGCAGTTACAGATGGTCGTTGGCCGGAGCCTCAACTGGCGTTAAAACTACCTCCTTTACCTCCTGACACACTGAGTGACCCGGGGATAGATGAAAATGATCATCTAGCATCCTCTAACACAGCCAGTGATGGAGATGCTGAATTAACAGAGAAAGATACTATTCCAGATTTTCCCTCTGGGCCATCGCCATATGTGGCTGCGAGAACTACGTTAAGAAAAACTGGTTGGAATCTTTTTGATACAAGAGAAGAATCAGAATCTTTCAAAGCAAGTAACACTAAAACAGCGAGTAGGGGTAGGAAATATTTGGATAAAATCATTCCATCATTTCGGGATACTGAAACTTCAAAATCAGAGGTGTCTGCAGTGCCACGACCACCATCTCCCAATCGTCTTTTATTGTCGGCTGTCAAGAATCAAGTGGTTCGCCGATCAGCTGCCGGAGACGTCCTGCCATCAGTTCCCCTCCACCGCCACCGTCACCGCCACGGCAACCACCATGGCAACCTCCACGGCAACTCAAGAGTGCCCTCTAGGCTCAAGGACCAGCCTGGTGAGTCACTGACAGGGAGACAGAACCATTTCAGAATACAACAAGAACTCGAGGATGATATTGGAGAGGTGTTCAGGGATGTAGCATATAGAGGCTCGTCATCCAAGAGTTACCCACCAGTCAGACAGTATAAGTTAATGACAATTCTGAGCAATCCAGGAAGCAGCAGGATTGAAAGAACGACAGTCCTCAGCAAGAATCCACACTACGACTACATGGCTGATGGCAGAAGAGGCATTTTGATGCCGGTACAAAGAAATATATCAGCTCCTGATGTTCCAAGCTCAAAAAGTGAGTCTAGAAGCTCACGTCTTGAACCAGGAAGTGATGCTCACTCATACAGCAATTCTAGCAGTAAGACTAAGAACAAAGACGGGACTTCGGTCATTGAAAGAATCCTTGAGCTTCAGGAATACGATCATGAGCTGTATGACTTGTATGAAGGTCACTATACTGACTCTTTCGAGGGAGATGGGAAATCAGAAATTCCTAGAAGAGGCAACTTTGAGGATAATCAAACATCAATGCGAAAGTTTTCTGCTAGTCAAGGCTCCGGCGAGCCGAAGAATGAAACACAGACAAAAATGGAAAGAACCAAGAAATCTGGCATATACAAACACGCATCTCAGCTGTCTTGGTTTGATGCTTTGCTATGCAGCAATAGAACCTTAGCCTGGATAGTTGTCAACTTCACTCTTGGTCTGCTGCTCCTCGGCTTGAGTCTCTTGGCTGCCTTCCGTCTCTTGACTCTGAAGTCTTGTACACATCTGCTCCCACGAACACACTTCGTGAGCATCCATTTACTTGTGTTCATTGCTGCATTCCTCAAGGCATTATACTTGTTCCACCTGGCTTATGGGAGAAAGGAAAGACTTCCCCTTGTTCTTGTTCTCCTATTAACCAATACTGGTTTTCCTTCTTTCTCCTCCTCGTTTTTAATCTTAATGATAATGATGTTTCTTACTGCTGATGTACATGTTTATAAACCAAAGCTCTTTACTATGCATAATATATCTATCTTTGTTATCATGAAATTTTCTCTCTGTTTTGTTGCAGATATTATCGTTGGGTGTGCACATAGTAAGAGTGTGTTAGTGTTGTCTAGAGTTATGTTGATTGCTATCACTGTAGCTATGATTGTGTTTTATGCTCGGAAGCACCAAATGGTCCTGCAAGTGTCCCAGATGTTGAAGAGGGAATTCCAAGGGGAACTCAAGTTGCTGGTGGTTCCTTCAAAGGATTTATCACAGGAGAGACAAATGGGAATCAAGCACATATTGAGAAACCGTCTTAATATGTGGTGTAGGATAATGAAGCTCTCTGCTACAGCCCTCGCAGTTCTGTGTCTTGTTCACCTCTTTCACATTGTTTTCCTCATCAGCTCGAACGTACCTGCCTGGGGGTGGTGGACGTTCCACATTTCTGGATGTTTGGTTGAGTCTTTGTTGTGTCTCTCCATCTGTATGGCTGCAGCACTGACTCAGCGCTATGATGAAAAAGTAAGTTTCTTCTACAGTTTTATGGTCCCTTCATATCTAAAGCGAAGTCACAAGGAAGGGGAAACCAAGGAGAGAAATGGGAATGTAATATACCAAAGAGTTTCCTTCTCCAGTGGAACTGAGAGTACTCAATATACCTCCTGCTTTCCCGAGACAGGAACCACAGGGTGTGAACCAATCTCAAGAACTCCAAAAGCACCCAAAAGACGGGGTGTTACCGTCAAAAGATCAGCTACATTCAGCTACGGACCTCCACACCAGCCAGCAACTGGTGATACATACGGGCCTCCCATAGCTCTTTCTCAAGTGTTGCGAGCAGGTTCAGCCTCCCAGATCCCCATGTATAGGAATGCTTCAGGTTCTCATGTGTCTATTTACGGTCCTAATCTAGTCTCTCGAGTCCCCATCTACAGTCCTCCCAGCTTTGCGTCCATGCTTGTTCATGAAGATGGTTTTGTTAGGATCAAATCACAGTTGGATCCCCTTCAAGGAAAATCACAATTACATCACTCGCAGGGTACACGGCATGATCCTAATATTCAAGAGTTTAATCCTCAAATTCACGGCTGTCCTTTACAGCAACTTAATGGTCTTGGGAGACAAGAAAGTTTTTACCAAAGCCTGTCTCGTAGAAGAAGAAACTCACGTTCTTCAGATATACATAATAACATCGATAGTCCTGAGAGTGATTATACTTCCTCTCCGGGCAGCAGAAGTGGCTACCAGTACTCTCCAAGTTTTCCATCATCAATAGCACAAGGGAGGACAGAGTCAGACTACCAGAGTCTCTCTAGAAGGAGAAACATCAGAGATCCCAATGTCCAGCATCTTAACAACATTGAGAAACAGGAGAATAACTACCACAGTTTGCAGAGGAGGAAGGGAAGAAACAGCGGACACGATCTCCAGCTACAGCACATGAACAACCTGGACCGAGGTGAGAACGACTACCATAGCCTCACGAGACGGCAGGTCTCTCATGAGGACAACAACTATCCTGGTGGTGACTGTGACTACCACCACACTGCGCATGTTACTAGGAAGAGCTTTCGGGAGCCCAGATTACCGTCTTTGAACCTTTATGATGAACAAGGTCTTTATCGTCTGCCTTCCCAGCGTGGCAGTCCCTCGATGCAACACAAAATTTCCAATTTTCCAGCCTCGCCTTCCGTCTCTACCGTCCACAACACCTTTATGAGTGTCTCACCTGGAAGTTCAAGGAGAGAAGCACACTTTCCAAAGCCTTTCGTGCGCATAGGCAGCAACGTAAGCCTTCAAACTGAAGACACCTACTGTCCTGACTACTTCGCCAGGGGCAATCCTGTGAGGCGCAATCATTCCTCTGCGGGCTACTTTCCCTCCAGGAATAGAGCCCCTCACAGTCCTTCCCTTACAGACGCCCTCAGATACGGTTCTCTCAGGCTGGGAATGACCAGGAAGCGCCAACCTGGCTATATCTTCAACACCAATGCAAACAAGCTGTTTGATCAGAACCGCGACAGGTATCCAAAGAACTCTGATGGGAATGGCAGAGCAAGGGACTTCAAAGACAAAACCAATGTGAATGAAGGCACAGAGAGAGGACCGCTAGAGGATTTGGACACAACACAAGCCACAAATACAAGAGCGAGTCCAAGCACACACAGCCAAAGTCCAGGGACAAAAAGTGCGAGTTCGGACCAAGACTGGGCATTAGAACTCATCAAGAGCAGTTCCATTTTGACGGATTTTTACTCCCTCGAGGAGCCAGAAGAAGAGGACAGAGTACCAGAGGAGGACAAGACGTCGGGGAGTAATAAGAAGCCGCAAGAGGCGGACAAGATGCAAGGGAAAGAGGAAATGCCAGAAAAGGATGACAAAACGCCTGAAAGAAAACAAGAAAATGAGCCAGTGAAAAAGGAGGACAAAATGCCAGTGAAGGAGGAAAAGATACCAGGAAAAGAAGATAAAATGCCAGGAAAAGAAGATAAAATGCCAGGAAAGGAGAACACAATGCCAGGGAAGGAGAACACGACGCCAGGGAAGGAGAACACGACGCCAGGGAAGGAGAACACGACGCCAGGGAAGGAGCACAAGACACCAGATAAAGAGAACAAGATGCTAGCGAAGGAGGACAAGGCGCAAGAGCTGAGAAAAGCGTCCGATGACGAAAATTAACAAATAAAACACATGCTAAGCAAAATTTCCATAGTCTCGTATCCAAAGAAATATTCTGTAAAGAAAATTAGTGAAAGTGTACTGGAATATGTAGTATGTGTGTGTGTGTGTGTGTGTGTGTGTGTGTGTGTGTGTGAACTATGTATAAGCGATAGTAGCAAGATGTACCTCTCTTCTTAACTATTTATGAGACAACAAGTGACACCAGAGTATAAAACAAACACAGGTTTTCCCTCTTATTCTTCTTTCCTCGAAGCCTTTTATCCATTCTGAGGCTACGAGGTCAAACAATTTTCAATAATATATATATATATATATATATATATATATATTATATATATATATATATATATATATATATATATATATAATATATATATTATATATATATATATATATATATATTATATATATATACTACACACACACACACACACATATATATATATATATTATATATATATATATATATATATATATATATATATATATATATATACATTGTGTGTTTGTGTGTGTATATATATACATTCTTGTAGGTACAAACCCCTGGTGGTGAGTATATTTACTATCATCTGTATCAATAAACCTGATATTTTCTTAAGCCTTAATGCACATTTCTTGAACCAAAGGATTTTTTTTTTTTTGTAATTTGTGTAATCTATTCTGTTTCCTAGTCATTAAATGTTTGTATTACTACGTTGGTTTTATTTATCAAACCTGTATGTTGAACCCTGTGATCATGATCACTAGTGACCATGATCACTAGTAGTGACCATGATCATTAGTGACCATGATCACTAGTGACCATGATACACTAGTGACCATGATCACTAGTGACCATGATCCCCAGTGACCATGATCACTAGTGACCATGATCACTAGTGACCATGATCACCAGTGACCATGATCCCCAGTGACCATGATCACTAGTGACCATGATCCCCAGTGACCATGATCACTAGTGACCATGATCACTAGTGACCATGATACCAGTGACCATGATCACCAGTGACCATGATCACTAGTGACCATGATCACTAGTGACCATGATCCCTAGTGACCATGATCCCCAGTGACCATGATCACTAGTGACCATGATCACTAGTGACCATGATCCCCAGTGACCATGATCCCCAGTAATCCATGATTCACTAGTGACCATGATCACTAGTGACCATGATCACTAGTGACCATGATCACTAGTGACCATGATCACTAGTGACCATGATCCCCAGTGACCATGATCCCCAGTGACCATGATCACTAGTGACCATGATCCCCAGTGACCATGATCACTAGTGACCATGATCACTAGTGACCATGATCACCAGTGACCATGATCACCAGTGACCATGATCACTAGTGACCATGATCACTAGTGACCATGATCACTAGTGACCATGATCACTAGTGACCATGATCACTAGTGACCATGATCCCCAGTGACCATGATCACTAGTGACCATGATCACTAGTGACCATGATCACCAGTGACCATGATCCCCAGTGACCATGATCACTAGTGACCATGATCCCCAGTGACCATGATCACTAGTGACCATGATCACTAGTGACCATGATCACCAGTGACCATGATCACCAGTGACCATGATCACTAGTGACCATGATCACTAGTGACCATGATCCCTAGTGACCATGATCCCCAGTGACCATGATCACTAGTGACCATGATCACTAGTGACCATGATCCCCAGTGACCATGATCCCCGTGACCATGATCACTTAGGACCATGATCCCCAGTGACCATGATCCCCAGTGACCATGATCCCCAGTGACCATGATCACTAGTGACCATGATCCCCAGTGACCATGATCCCCAGTGACCATGATCCCCAGTGACCATGATCCCCAGTGACCATAATCCCCAGTGACCATGATCACTAGAGACCATAATCCCCAGTGACCATGATCCCCAGTGATCATAATCCCCAGTGGCCATGATCACTAGTGACCATGATCACCAGTGACCATGATCACTAGTGACCATGATCACTAGTGACCATGATCCCCAGTGACCATGATCCCCAGTGACCATGATCCCCAGTGACCATAATCCCCAGTGACCATGATCACTAGAGACCATAATCCCCAGTGACCATAATCCCCAGTGACCATGATCCCCAGTGACCATGATCACCAGTGACCATGATCCCCAGTGACCATAATCCCCAGTGACCATGATCACCAGTGACCATGATCACCAGTGACCATGATCCCCAGTGACCATAATCCCCAGTGACCTTGATCACCAGTGACCATGATCACCAGTGACCATGATCCCCAGTGACCATGATCACCAGTGACCATGATCACTAGTGACCATGATCACTAGTGACCATGATCACTAGTGACCATGATCCTCAGTGACCATGATCACCAGTGACCATGATCACCAGTGACCATGATCCCCGTGACCATGATCCCCAGTGACCATGATCCCCAGTGACCATGATCACCAGTGACCATGATCCACAGTGACCATAATCCCCAGCGACCATGATCACCAGTGACCATGATCCCCAGTGACCATTGTGAGACCTCTACCCACTCTACCGGAGGTATCCCAGCGAGTGAGCACGTCTCCTGTATATCCCAGTGCTTAACAAGCTAGGGAATAGCATATGAAGGTACAAATAAAAATGGGAACTATGGCTATAGTTTACTTAATAACATAAAAGGGCTAGAATACAACATCTCCTGATGGAAATTTACACAATATAACAATTGACCGATGAGACTTATTACCAGGGGGAAGGGTAGATGTTATCAGTAACATGGACTAGTACTCACTCTTAATTCACCGACCAGCTGACCCGAGATTCCCAATGCGTGGTCCACTACACACGCGGCTGTCCAGAGCTCTCGCTCGACGGACCTGTCACCAACAACCTCCTTGCCCCGCTCTTCCCTGGGCTTATATCGTAGTCAAAGTACCCCCTCCCCAATGGTGTATGTACCACGTGTTGCGACCTGACGCCGAGCTCTGACGCTGTTAAGAACAAAAGACCTCAGACGTGGGCGTGGCTACAGACGTCTGCCAAGGCAAGGTGTGACCATATAATTGGTTAAATTAGGTCTCCCCAGAGACCTCACAAGCCCAGCTGAACTACATCACACCATGATCCCAAGTGACCATGATCCAAAGTGACCATGATCCCCAGTGACCATGATCACTAGTGACCATGATCCCCAGTGACCATGATCCCCAGTGACCATGATCCCATTGACCATGATCAGTGACCATGATCACCAGTGACCATGATCCCCAGTGACCATGATCCCCAGTGACCATGATCAGTGATCATGATCCCCAGTGACCATGATCACCAGTGACCATGATCACTAGTGACCATGATCCCAGTGACCATGATCCCCAGTGACCATGATCCCCAGTGACCATGATCACCAGTGTCCATGATCACCAGTGACCATGATCACCAGTGACCATGATCACCAATGACCATGATCACCAGTGACCATGATCACCAGTGACCATGATCACCAGTGACCATGATCATCAGTGACCATGATCCCCAGTGACCATGATCCCCAGTGACCATGATCCCCAGTGACCATGATCACCAGTGACCATGATCACCAGTGACCATGATCACCAGTGACCATGATCACCAGAGACTATGATCACCAGTGACCATGATCACCAGTGACCATGATCACCAGTGACCATGATCAGTGACCATGATCACTAGTGGCCATGATCCCCAGTGACCATGATCACCAGTGACCATGATCACCAGTGACCATGATCACCAGTGACCATGATCCCCAGTGACCATGATCACCAGTGACCATGATCAGTGACCATGATCACTAGTGACCATGATCACTAGTGACCATGATCACCAGTGACCATGATCACCAGTGACCATGAAACCAGTGACCATGATCACCAGTGGCCATGATCACAGTGACCATGATCACCAGTGACCATGATCACCAGTGACCATGATCACCAGTGACCATGATCAATGACCATGATCACCAGTGACCATGATCACGTGACCATGATCACTATGTGGCCATGATCCCCAGTGACCATGATCCCAGTGACCATGATCACCAGTGACCATAATCACCAGTGACCATGATCAACAGTGACCATTATCACCAGTGACCATGATCACCAGTGACCATGATCCCAGTGACCATGATCCCCAGTGACCATGATAACCAGTGACCATGGTCACCAGTGACCATGATTACCAGTGACCATTATCACCAGTGACCATGATCACCAGTGACCATGATCCCCAGTGACTGATCCCAGTGACCATGATCACCAGTGACCATGATCACCAGTGGCCTATGATCACCAGTGACATGATCACCAGTGGACCATGATCACCAGTGGCCATGATCACCAGTGACCTTTGATCACCAGTGACCATGATCACCAGTGACCATGATCACCAGTGACCATGATCACCAGTGGCCACGATCACCAGTGACCACGATCACCAGTGACCACGATCACCATGACCACGATCACCAGTGACCATGATCACCAGTGACCATGATCACCAGTGACCATGATCACCAGTGACCTGATCACCAGTGACCATGATCCCCAGTGACCATGATCACCAGTGACCATGATCCCCAGTGACATGATCACCAGTGACCATGATCACCAGTGACATGATCACCAGTGACCATGATCACCAGTGACCTAAATCACCAGTGACCATGATCCCAGTGACCATGATCACCAGTGACCATGATCACCAGTGGCCATGATCACCATGACCATGATCACCAGTGACCGATCACAAGTGACCTTGATCACAAGTGACCATGATCACCAGTGACCATGATCACAGTGACCATGATCACCAGTGACCATGATCACAGTGACCATGATCACAGTGACCATGATCAGTGACCATGATCATAGTGACCATGATCACTAGTGACCATGATCACCAGTGACCATGATCACCAGTGACCATGATAACAGTGACCATGATCACCAGTGGCCATGATCACCAGTGACCATGATCACCAGTGACCATGATCACCAGTGACCATGATCACCAGTGGCCATGATCACCAGTGACCATGATCACCAGTGACCATGATCACCAGTGGCCATGATCACCTTGACCATGATCACCAGTGACCATGATCACCAGTGACCATGATCACAAGTGACCTTGATCACAAGTGACCATGATCACCAGTGACCTTTGATCACCAGTGACCATGATCACCAGTGACCATGATCACCAGT